TTCCAGCATTTTTGTGTATTTGAACCCTTTCCAACAATGACTGTAGGATTTTGAGATCCATCTTTTCACAGTGAGGACAACTGGGGTACTCAACAAACATTCTGTTTCAGAGAATATTTAGACATTTCAGATCTGCGTGGTAGTGCAAGCTTCATAAAAATTGGGATTAATTGATAGTTTCACTTTTAAATCATGTCTAATTATCATTATATCTTCTCAGGGCGTCCACCTGTAATTAATTGTGTATTTTTGCTAATTTGAATGATACAGGCTACTAATTAACTTTTGTGCTAATTATGAAACTAGGCACAGGTATTTGTGACAGAAGTGTTGGTAATAAAATTATCAGTAGCTGACACTGAGGCAAGGTCTTGAAGGCTGGGATTTCATGTTTTGCTAAATTCTGCCAGGCCGAGCCAATCTCATGCCTTCAATCCAAAATCCCGCCCAATCACAAAGTCACACAATGATTAAGAACCGAAGAGTGTTTTCGATTGGCTAAAAAAAACCTTGGGAAACTGACTCTTTTATGTTGTTTAGAGGGCCTATGGCTGTCACAGAGACAAGTGTGATATATTTCTGTAACATTGTAGCCTTAAAAACACTTACATCACACTCACATAAAGCTTGATTTTATTTGTCAAGAAAATATTTTCATGTGTGACACAGTAGCTCATGTCAAACCTGTTAATTTATAGTTCAATTAAAAATATTTCCTTGCACACCCCCAAAGGCCCTGTGTGTGTGTGCACCAGTTCCAGAGTCTTTAGGGAAACGAAACACTGGACTCTGGGGTGATAAAGTGACCTTAGCCTCTGTGTCTAATTCATGTTCAGAGCTTAGACTGCTTATCTGGAGGCATAAAATGCTTTGTTTATTTGTGCTTTGTAAAGTTGAACAAGGGTGATATAACGAAACAATAAAAAGGGGAAATGAATGGAGCGAAATAGCATTAACTATCAAAATCAGCTTGAAAAGCAATGTTTACAGGATCATGCGGGATCATGTTGTAAATCAGTGGGTTATGACCCCAAAATGGGTCGCAGGTCTGTTCTAAAAAATGTTGTGTAGGGGCAAAGGGACAAAATAGCGCAGATAATAAAATGCATCTAACCGTATAATTGTGCATAGGACAGCAAAAATAAATGGGTCTATCAAATTTTAAAAGCCAGGAAAAGCTTACCAAATCTATTGTTGTGCACTTCAAAGGCAAATGTGTCACTAAAATGTATCACCTAATACCACCCCACACTGATACAATGCTTTACGTTTAGCCTAACGTTTGTTATATGGTATATTTATATATTATTTAACATATTTATACAGTACTTTTATTTGATTTGATTTGATTAGATTTTTTATGGGCCATGCAGGTCATAGTAATATTAAGGCTAATTATAAAGCAGTTTGTATTTAATCATAATTTATTCAGTATATTTAGTTATGTAGTGCTACTATTGTTCTAGTCATTCCATAGAATGTTTTGTTTTATTTTGTTTGTTTTGTTTTGCAGGTCATGGTAATATTAATGTTTTAATCTATTAATCCATTTAAATCTTTATGAGCATTTTTGTAACTTTTATACAGTAGATAATTAGCAAATTGATGTCCAGTGTAAAATCTGAGCTGTGAAGCAAACCACCATTAAAGAGATCCATGTGCTTATACGTTTAAAAGATGTGCAAATGTTTCATCTTCTAGTAGTTTGTGTTTTAAAATCTGAGACACATGACGTAAATGACATATGATCTGAATCTGTTCTTTGACAGAATGGTTTCTCTTCTCTTGCTTCTCCCCTCCACACCTGCTCACTCCGTCTTTCTTTTTCCAACCACTATGACCTCTCACCAACACCAGCATCCATTACCCTGATGATAACCATGATCTGTCCATCCCAGCTGAGCATCTCAGAAGACTCAGTGCTGGAAAGACAGTGGATCCTAATGGCTTCAGCTGTGTCTGATGGGCTAGATAGTGCAGTGGTAAAGATCTGGTCTGGTAACCAGAATGCTGCAGGTAGAGCCGTCGGCATTGTGTCATTGAACACAGCACTTAGGTTGCTGCAGTGGGACTGTCCCTGTAAAGCTGGTCACTTTAGATCAAAGCATTGGCTAAATGACGAGGTCTGTGGAGTGTTGGTGCTTAACCTCAGTGTTATCTTCACACTATACAGTCTGCACTGCTCAGGGAAACCCTAGGGCCATTGTAGCTGGACACTGCCATCAGTCTCATCAATTATTGACTATCAGACCTGTAATCCAGAGAGCTTTGTCTGAGTAGGTTGTTAGTAGAATTGCTGCACAAAAGACCGTCCTTCTGCTATTCTTTGATGTGAATGTAAACTTTCAAGGAATCTTTTAATGTGGCTGTTTCATGATGTTCTGTGGCTAGAACCTGTTTCTTGTGCTCTGTGTTTAGGAATTGCTTCAAGACTTTGTACTGGACATAAAGTGGCGTTTCAACATTGTACCAGAATGCATGAATATATAAACAAACAAACAAATATATATATATATTTTTTTTTTAAATAATTAATTTTTTTAAATTGAATAAAAAAAAAAATAAGCCTTCCATTGATGTATGGTTTGTTAGGACCATATTTGGCCGATATACAACTATTTGAAAATCTGGAATCTGAG